ACTCACTGTGAAGATCAGGCTGGCCTCAGTCTCACGTAGATCCACCTGCCCCTGCCTCCTGAATGCTGGTGTTAAAGGCATGTGCCACTATGCCCAGTGTATATATATTTTTAATTACAAGATTTTCAATTTCATTTTATTTATTTTCTTTGCATGTGTGTTATGAGGGGCACATGTACATGTGCCATGCATGTGGAAGCCAGATGGCAACCTTCAGAAGTTGGTTCTCTCCTTCTACCCAGTGGGTCCACGGGTTCAAACTTAGACTGTCAGGCTTGGCGGCAAATGCCTTTACCTACTGAGCCATCTTGCCAGCCCTGGTTATCACCCATATTAAGTAGCTGATGAGTGCTTTGTCTTTTTGGCTTAGTGGAACATTCAATGGCACAAAGAGTTATCACCCATATTAAGTAGCATTTGTTCACTGCTGATGAGTGCTTTGTCTTTTTGGCTTAGTGGAACATTCAATGGCACAAAGTTTTGAATGTATCTTAGAGAATAACACAGACATTGCATTCCACCCTACTGTTTTCAAGCATATTAAAAGACCCTTTTCTTTAAAAAAGAAGACAATCCTGTATACATATATATTTTGGAGCTCACCAAATTTACACAGAATTGGGCAGATGCATGTCCTAACAGTGGAATGCTCGTCCAGCATCCCACAAAGCCCTAGGATTGACCACCAGTATCATAGAAACAGACAAACTGACAAAGGCTTCTTGATCAATGATGATTATAATAAAAACTAAGTTTTTGTTTAGGCTTTTTAACTATAGATAATAGCAGACATCATAGTGAAGTTTAAGAAGGCAAATCATTCCTTGAGGGTAGTGCGGTTTTGTTAGTCCAAGTGACCCCAAATGTCATGAGATTCAGCTCACCCAGTAACATTTAGTACAGTTTCCCTAATTCCGGCGATACACAAATCCTCACGAAACGCATCTCACAAACCCTGAAAACTCCCATATCCTGGTGTTTATTTAAAAACACAAAAATCGGTAAAGACAAGATGTGAAATTGTCTCCAACATTATGGTGAGTCAAAACATCAGTGTTGAAGAGAATTCTGTGAAGGTGACCTGGATATATCCGCCCCATGATTTCCTGTTTAAATCCACACCTGCACACAAAGCTGCATACAGAAGCATACACTAAAATAATGAACTGGAGACATGGGAACAGCATCGTAAGATGGTGTTCAGATGACTGCATGCTTTTCCTATGACTATTAGATTTTCTTTTCTGTCAAGCTAGGTCTGTTCCTTAGATCTGCCAAGAGATGCACAGTCAGTGATGAAGTAGGAAAGAAGAAGGCTCATGTGCTGCCCATTACAACTCACCTACACAATTCAGGCTCTGATCACATAGACAATAGGGTTTAAAGAAACCCCCTAGCTAGGGACCTAGCCCGGTGGTAGAGAGCTTGCCTAGTAGGCACAAGGCCCTTGGTTCAATCATACACACCACAAAAATAGACAAACAGAATCACTGGGTCAACTTTATAATTAATAGACACATTTAAAGAAAAAATTAAATTGGTGTGACATTTTAAAAACCTACATTATTAATTCAGATTTCTTCAATAACATATGTATTGGGGGAGAGGCAGTATTTTTCCCTCAAAAGGCACACAATCATTAGTGATTGTTTCAGATTCTAAAAGACAAGCATTAGAGAGGAGAAGGAGAAATCATAAGATGGTATCAATCAAGTAAATGACCCTTAGCATGTTCCAAGCACTTATCCACTTGACATCCAGTTAGTCACAGTGGGGCAGGACAGAGGATTACACCCAATTTATACAGCTTGTGAGTTACAGAAAAGGTAAGTCACCTGCAGGTTACGTAGGTGGCAAGTGGTGCCACAGAGATCTGAACCAGGCAATGAGGCTGTGTGGAGCACCTTAAACATGTCTATACATGACCATCCACCATCATGTCACACCCTTATCTCACTATGCCCACACAATGTTCAAAGCAGATCACATCCCCTCAGTCCACAGCTTGGATCATTCCTTGAGGAACATCATGAGGTTATTAAAAGGCAGTGGGGCTGAGATTCCATGTGGGGCTTCAAAGCCCTGAAAGAAGTTCTAAGAAGTGTCTCTTCTCAGAGGTCCTCAGGAGGGTCGGAGATCAGTGGTGAATACTATGCGTGGAGAGGGAAGAAGTCTGTTCTGCTCACTGCAGAATTCCAGTCCATGACACAGGGCCTGGCATATGCGAGGGGACCTTGCCCATTCCCACACTCACCAATCCTCACACTGGATAGCTCATGGTTTCTTATCATTTCCCCGCTATAGACTGCAAGCTCTTGGTGTAATTGGAGCTTACTGTGTCCTGGGAAAACTTCTAGAAGCTTGGAATGCCAGTCAATGAAGTGAAAGTCTTTACTCTTATTTTCTTTCTTTTCTCTGTGTGTGGTGTATCCATGTGTGTGCATGATCACGTGTGCTCATGCATGTACATGTGGGGGAACAGAGGAGGATGTCAGGTGTTCTACCTACTGTACTAGGCTTTATTCCTTCAACACAGGGTCTCACTGAACCTGGAGTTTTCTGTTTCTCAGCCCTAGCAAAGCTCCTGTCTCTGCCCCCTCATGCTGGGGTTTCAAGCACTTGAGCCATGGCTGACTTCCTATGAGCACGTTGGGGATCCGAATTGGGGTCTTGTTTAAACAGCAGGAATGCTTATTCATTGGGCCGTCTCACCAGCCTCGGGTCTTTTACTCTTTCCTTGGTTTCGTCTCCCGAACAGCTAGCAGACTGTTGTACTCTCCGTGAACATTTACTAAATGAATAAAATGAATTCACTGGGAGTGGCAGGTAGATGTCCAAGGGGGGGAGGCCGAGAAGAGGAAACATTAGGGTTGTATCTATTGATTAGATTTTTAAATTAAAATCTTAACATGGTTATGATAAATAAGGATGATCACTTTTTATTATTCAGCTCACCTTTCAAAGCAGAAGTGATACAACATATATTTCTATTCTAAAAGTAAACTACAATCCCAGCTCTGAAAGAGAACATGTATTTCAGGAGACATTGTTTATGTCTTTGTCGGACTATTTTTCACATTACACTCCCCAGAGCTCAGCCTGTGTACCCTGGTTTCCAAAAGGTGACTTTACAAGGCAAGTTTTCTCCTGGTAATTAGACGCATGCATGTTATAACTCATTTGGCTTCAGCAGTGAGGTCACAGGCTGCCCAGCCTATTGTCACTGGCTGATTCAATTACAGGCAGTGGCATCTCATCTCCATGCAAAACATTAGTAAATTAACACTGCTCGCTTTGCATTCATTTGGGAAATCTGCTCAGCTGGTGATGACGATCGTGACAAGCAGGGAGTCGTAGGGACACTCTGGTAATACCTTGAAGCTTTGCACATATCAATTAAAACCCTGGCTCGGCTCCTTGCAACTGGGGTTTGGTCTGCAGGGTAAATTTCTTTTTTTCACAGCACAAAGCAGAAATCAGCATCGGTAATTGGTGAGAAAAACACACAACCACCTCAACAAAAAATAGCTACAGAAACACTCAGCCTGGTGTTCCTCAATCCTTCCTATAACTCGGGGCCTGATTTAAACCAAAAATAAATGAGCTCTGGCATGGGGCGCTTGTCTTCAGACCAGATTTACAACTCTGACTCAAAGCACAAATCACAATAAATATCGGAGGCTGGAGAGAGATTATAATTCAAATGCCTCGACTGCTCTTTCCAGTCTAAGGGCGTCTTAGCCTAACCAAGAGACTTTAACCCAGGAATCTTTAGGTCACAGAACCTCTATTGATGGGCGTCAGTTGTTTTATAAGACCTGTGAAGAACATTTTATGTGCATTTGGCTGACAGGGGCACACATCATTTTCATCAGTCACAGTAGGTCGTGCCAACTCACAAGGCGAGGATTCTTGGTCTAGGGCGAAGGGGCAGAGACAGAGATCTGCAACCTGCTGTGGTCCACCTGCCTCAGGCCTGCACGGCTTTGTGTCCCCTTGCATGAGGAACTTTCTTTGTCAGCCTATGATCTTTGTCTTCCCTGTGATCTAATACATGAGTTGGATGTGAGGGATCACCAGTTAGGCTGAGCCTTTGCCTCTGATGGTCCACAGTCTAAAAACTCAATCATTGATGACCCGTTACCATCCTCTACTGGCCCACTGAATATCGTTAACCACAAACCAATTAAGCATTTAGGAAAATAGGAATATTTACATTGTGTCTGTTAACATTTGCACTGTATCCAAGGACCTGAAAGACGAACACCTCCCATTTCAACACTGACTAATGGCAAGTCAAGCCACCAGCAAACATTTTTGTGAAGTCATAATCCTTTACCTTATGTAGCACATTATGACAAGTGAAGCCTAACTTGCACTTTAACTCTCTCACCACACCAGGCCGACTGGTGTTATAAGTCTATGGATTTTGTGTGGCTCTAGAAGATAGGGTAATGGGAAAAGTGTTTCTTGAAACTATTCAGACAGTTGCTTAGAAATACTTTGAACTTGGAGGGCATGGAATTAAAGATAAGGTCAATATTCATCACCTTTCATAATAGCCAATTAAGCTAAAATGCAAGGATTTTAAAAAGTCATTATGGTTTATTAGGTAAAAATGACTGATTTTAAAAAAGTATTTTATTTATTATTTTTATTTTATGTGTATGTGTGCATTGCCTGCACGTAGGTAAGTGCACCCGTGTCGTGCAATGCCTGCAGAGGACAGAAGAGACTGTTGGATCCCCTGGAACTGGAGTTATGGACAGTTGTTAGCTGCCATGTGGGTGCTGGGATCAAACCCGGGTCTTCTGCAAGAACAACTAGTGTTCTTAATCGCTGAGGCATCTCTCCAGCCCCAAAATGACTGATTTTTGAAAACTGATAATATACATTCTCCCCTAAAAGCCACTTTTCAAAAAAAAGATTTCTAAGTGAGAATACGGGCTGGTTGGAAATCAGAAATGTCATTCTTGTGTGGACACGCAAAGCTGACTTACGGTCACGATGAGCCCTTTCTCCTGGAAGTATTTAACCAGGGGAGCGGCATTCTGCTTGAAGTTCATGAGTCTCCTCTGCGTGGCTTTCAGATTGTCGTCAGGCCGCCCCTGTTGCTGCGCACGCTTCAGTAACCTTTCTTTGAGTCTCTGGTTGGCACAAGCCAGGAACAGCACCAGGTCTGGGGTACAAATCTGTAGAGAGCACAGACAGGTGTTGAACATGTCAAGCAACACCTGCGTGGGTGGTGGTCTGCCTCTCCATTTGCCCTATTCAGGGGCTACATCCTCGGCTCTACATTTTAGCAAGTGTATTTCCTGGGCTCCTATCTACAAAAGACCCGGGGTACCAAGTCCATAGACGTCCCTATAAATATTGATCCACCCCATGTGGCAGTACACAGTGACCCTCTATATATCAGAAAACATTTTTCTATGTTCACATAAATTACTAGGTTGAATAAAGAACAATACAGGGCAAACTGCTGAAGTATACGTAACCTGATTTTGGAGGAGAGAGAATGATTGGGCCACACTGTTGTCTGCAGCAAGTTGCTATTTTAAAATTACCCACTGTATGCCGGGCCGGTACTAAACTGTTCCATTAAACTTTATAAGTCTATAAGGTAAACATCAACTCTGTTATTATTTCTTTCTTTCTTATTTATTATCTATCTATCTATCTATCTATCTATCTATCTATCTATCTATTATCATCTATCTATCTATCATCTATCTATCATCTATCTATCTATCTGTCATCTATCTATCTATCATCTATCTATCTATCATCTATCTATCTATCTATC